GGCGATGAATGAACGATGAATACGCAAGCTTCTAATTTAGAAAGGTATGCATGACGTAGTGTCCATAAGCACCGCGCCCCTTGTACGTCCACCACCTTTATCTGTTGCTGTGTCTGATGATAGGTCTGAATATGAATTCAAAACATCAGACAAATAAAACGACTGTTCCAGTGGTTGTCTCTCTCCATTTTCTCCGGGATATGGCGTCCTCCAGCGGGGATCAACGAGCGTTGTTTAGCCATAATAACTAACTGGCCGGAGAACATTCTGACCCCTTTTTGGAAGGGACTGAAACCTGACTCACTAACTGGGGCGACGCTGTCGTGATATCAGTCATCCAGAAATGCGACAGATCACAGTGGAAGAATAACCGTGGCATACGCATCCACAGCACATTCACAGTCGTCCTCCTTCGCAGATTCTGCTTGTACCATCAAGAGCTGGCACGAGTGAATCAACTCGGCCCCCAGCCGGGGCGAGGACGGATTCACCACTAGTTTTACTTAAGTAGAGAACATGGGGAAAAGGACAGTTATGGACAATTCATTTCTTGAAGCAATATTTCCCCGAAATGAATTTAAAGCAGTCATGGACAGCAGAATTTATTGGCACCAGTAAATTTCACGACGGCTTCTCAACTGCAGCCCGTCGTAGCATAACACAAATAACAAGTGAGAAAAGTACAGAAGTTTGGACTTCGACAGAGAAAATCAATATAAAACAGCAAGGTCATCGTATACTGCGCGTAAACTAATCAGTAAAATGGTAGCTTCAAAACGCAACATGGGAAAGAAAATGGGGAAGTAAACATGCCGAGGAATTTCGAAAATCAAAAGGGGGCTCAGGTCTACCAGGGCAAGCTGAGGTTGACCACGTGGTCTAACTGTTTACATAGGTCGGGTTTCTCCCGCCGTATGTAGGCTGCCTCCAGGTAGCGCAACAACCGAGTAGTTCGTGCTCGAACTAATACTCGGAAAGACGTTTTGGAGATGTTTTGTAATAGAAGACCGTGGAATCTTATTCTCATGCTTTAGAAGCCATTTAGGGAGTTGCTCAACTGCCCTGACTGCCAGTTGACTTTGCGTTCGCCTAATGTACTTGCATTCACAAGTGCATGTAAATCATCAAACACAATTTGACGTGGCGTGCAATGGCAAGGCGTCCTTCGCCCGTGGAACTTCGATAGCCTTGGTAGGGCTGCAGAAGGTGAGTGCAGCTGATATGTAGGTTCTTTCAATAGCGCATCTCAAGCGCCGCTTGATGGTATTAGAGATGTTGTCGCCCTTAAGGGGTAAGGATATGATGACGGGCTTTTTCGGAACTGATTGCTCCATCAATTTTGGCCGTACAGTGTTGCTATACTTTTCGATGAATCGTGTTGGATATCTCCGTTTAAGCAGGGCTGTTTTGAGGCAAGAAATTTCAGCGTCCAGCATTTCAATAGAGCAAATGTTTCTTGCTCTTTGTAATAGAGTGTAGACCAAATTTCGTTTTCGTTGTATCGGCACAAGGCTCATGAATTGCAGGTATTGGCCTTTCCATGTATCCTCACTTGTTATTTGTGTTATGCTACGACAGGCTGCAGTTGAGAAGCCGTCGCAAAATTTACTGGTATCAATAAATTCTGCTGTCCATGCCTGCTTTAAATTCAGTTCATTTCTGTCATTTCGCGAATTTTTCCAAAAAAAGCGAGTGGGGCTCTGAGCAGTTAAGCTCTCTGCCCAGCCAACCGAATTAGGAAAATATGTTCTGCAGACACCCTGGAGATTGGGCTTGCCTTCGCATGAAGTGTTCTCGCCAGGAATCGCTTCGTTAACCTGGCCAAAGGGCTCCTGTTATATCGTTCAAACTCTGCTATTGCGCGCGTATGCCTGCCGACAGTTCGACCATCGCGTCCGACGATGTCCACCCTATGCTCCACAGCAGGGTGAGAGCAGGCACGGTGACTTGTGCAAAATTTTAGTTCAAAATGACAGTAGACTTGCACAGCGTCTACCGAACTCCCCCCTGGACCCGGTGTCAAGACAGAGTCAAGAAGACCGGAGGCGGGGGGCGAAGGTGGATGGCGCGGTCGAGCCCGCACCTAGGCGTTCCACTCCACACCCCTGGTCCACATAAAAAATAACCGGGCTTTTGATTAACCATAACAATGGGGTGGTGGCAGAGTCCCAATGCATGCGACATACGCCGGCAACCGGGTCCGCCAACGCGCCCCGAAAGTGTTGCCATTTGTTATGGTGCGCAACTACGATAACGCCCGTCAGAGTCCAGTATGGCCCCCGTGTTGGCCCAGCGCATCTACCACGTGGCCCGTTTTGGGGCGCGTATACCTAAGAGCCAAGACAAAGCTAGTTTTCCCAAATGCCGCCCTTTTCGCCACCAAGGTCGGGCTACCTTTTCAGACTTTTTCAGTGTTGTTTTTTTAATTTCCTCAGGAATTAACTGCGAAATTGGAGTAGGTCGGTATAGTCTAAGGTGTACAGGCGCAGGCCGAAATTTGGGCCAAAGTCCATTGGCCACAACGGGATAATCGCGTAATATTAAATGTCGACGGGCAGTTAGTAGTATATTTTTTGGTTACGGAATACCATTTTAGCATCACAGGTACTCGTCTGCAGTGTGCATTTCTGCCTCCACCTGCCCTGTCGGACAGGCTATTTTGGTCGGATGGCCAGATGCCCACCTCAAAGAATGGAAACAAACCCTCCAGTCGTTTACTCAGGACATGGTGGTCAATCTCGAGCGTAGTTGTAGTTCACCCGGCCGACAGTGGATGCCAAGCACGTCATCTGAGAGGTGCCACCGGAACACTGCAACTCCCCACAACAACAGATAAAGGCAGAAATTGTGGACATAAAGTTATTCAACCTGGTCTTATGCAGACAAGATGCGTTCATTAGAACACCCTAGCCCATGCTCGGCCCCACACCCAGTGCCTTTGACCTCATACAACTTCGCGCGTAGTTACACTAATGGAAGGGAAACACGTCCCACGGCTCCTGTCCCTGCTTCTTGACCTCAAAACAGGAACCCAATTAACCCCCTCTTTGACAGTTGAAACGAACTGTCCAACCCCCAACTTCGGTTTTCACCCCCTACTGCCCCGTCCCAACACTGAATAATCAAAAACCTGCATTTGCCAACCCCGACAGTGCTTCTCATCGTCCGGCTTCTTTGTTGTTAAATATGCTGCAAGATAGCATGCTACCGGAATTTGTTAGTGTGATCTAAGACTAACATACTAAGACCGGAGTTCATGTGAATGGTGACGAGTGTATCCGTCAGGGCTGCATTCACGCGGAAGCTGTTAGTTTATATCATGCATCGAGGCTTTGGACGCACCGTGGCGGAGCGCCGGGCACGACAATAAGTCGTGGTTCAGGCGTTACAGATCTTGATAACCCTGATAGCCTTGCAATACTGCTAATCAACTTGGGGAAAATTAAGTGCGCTGCCACGAATAGGCGTAGAGGTAGCTTGGAAGCACTGGAGAATATTACAGAAAGAAACGATTGCGCAGGTCACCGTGGTCAAAAGAACTAGGTCTGTTGTGGGAGGTGGAACAGGTCACCGTACAGCTTTTGTTGTCATAAGCTGAACTCAAACCCCACGGGCGTAATGCAGGCCAGAGGAGCCAGCGCGTTAACTAGATGGGTCCAGCCTCCATCCGACTTTGCGAAAGCCTCGGGGGGCGATGAAAGACCAGGTTGACAAAAGCCTTCGTGCAGATTACGTCTTTACAAACCGCACACGGTCTATGCGCCCGGAGGGTATGCACACAGGGAGTGCTCGACCGGTGGCGCCTGCGCTCCAGTTTCTCAACTGGCTTCTTACCGTGTGTCCAGTGAAGGCCATACGGTTGGTCCTCCTCCACAGCCCCGAGATTTTTCGGGCATGAACTGAGCCGACCCGGGGGAGGATCGCCCAGAACGACCTCGCTCGTACCAATCCCAGATTGGCGGCGGGCGCGGGCAAAGGCAGGGAACGTTTACCCTGGGCGCATATCTGGGCCCCCAGACTTCGGGCTGGTGCGCAAATCGGCACCCCGCCCGAGTCTGCCGTCGGTCGACGACGACGAAACTACTTAGATATGTGGACAACTCCTAATTCCCCTCCCACTAGGACCCGGGACGGAATCGGCGCCAACCTCGCCTCCCTTCCGCTCCAAAACGTCTGTACGACTCCAGACGGACCTTATTTATATGAAGAAATCGCCTGAACACTTGGTGTTATACGCTCGCATACTTCGTTTAATTTACCACTCATAGCACAACTTGTAGATCTACACGACCTTACCTCAACCATGCTCGTATGTGTTTACTGAAAAGTTCGACAGGCACATTTAGCATACTCTACCCGGCAACAACTCTTGCAACAATCTAAATAGTCGTATGTGCTCATTCCAGGGTATTATCGGTCACTACAACGGGTCGGTGAGGTCCGAATCATTAGCACACTAATCACACTAACACGTTACATAGGCTGTTTAAAAATGCAGGCACAGAACGCTCAAATTCAAAGTGTAATCGACTTAACCAAAAGCGCAAACCCCACATACAGGCCGAATTAACATAACCAGTGAATTACTATTACTAATGAGTAGCGTCTTTAGTGGACGGAAACGGTGGGCTCAGAACTCGTCGACAAACTTGCTGACAGCGACCCCGGTGCTCCGGGCACAATAAGAGGCAAAACACACAAATATGGTAGGAGATATTTGTATCAAAGAGTTTGTGAGAAAATATTGTACACGGACAGGGGGCCCAAGTGTGAAGGAACATTTTAACTTAGCAGAAGGCCAACAGCGAGTAATAATGCGTGAAAAACCCCCAGGGCACATTAACATTTGACTAGGAGGCAGCATGTGAGCAGAGTTTCTCCCAGGCAGTAGAAGACAAATGCGGCTAAAACAGTTGGAAGAGAGGACTGTTAGGACGTAGGGAAAACTCATATATATCACTTGGGCATTTGTACTTTTTTTTCTTTTTTCATTCGCCCAATCAATACGGTGCACTGAAATAAATACGACGTCTCCTACAATATTTAAAAAAAACCAATGTGAAAAGTGAAGCAAATAAAAATACAAGCACACAATGAACGACCCACACCTGAAGCGGGAAGTCCTTGGGCGGAGGAAGCCGTACCCTGCTCTGATGCCATATGGGTTAAAGCGACGACGCATACGACCCCTGAACCGGCTAGAACTTGACAATCCTGGAAGGTTAGTCCTCTTTGGCATGACCTTCAGAGGTCTGCCGCGAAAATTAGAGTCGTCGAGAGCAACCGCAGCTTCTATTGCGTCTTCACTCTCAAACTCGATGTAAGCAAATCCTTTTGGGTGGCCTGTGTAACGGTCACATAAAATGGTAACACGGTTAATTGCGCCGCAACAGCGGAAATGAGCCTCGAGTTCTTCTGCTGTTGAACCATAGTCCACCTTCAAAGATGAGATGATAAGACGGTCTTACATTGCCAACATAGATAGAGCGTAAATCAACTTCTGCCTTTTCTTCCTCCGATACAACCGAAACACTTGATTCTGAAAAAAATTATAAACGCGACTGGAACGCACTTGCTGACGATCTCTCGACGTTGCTGCTTATGTTGTGGAGTTTGTTAGCGTCAGCCTCCATTTCCTTCAACCGTTCTTTCATCGCTTCGATATCCTAGGGGAAATCCATAAAGAATCCGAACTTACGGCTTCAAACGTGTCCGAATTTATCGACTCCTCCTTGGACGCCTCATCAACAAACTCATCCTGATCGCCCTCATGGACGCCATCGAGTACGTAGTCCGCCATCTTAAAGCTCAAAAGTGCGGCACCGTCTCTGTGAATTAAAAGAAACGGTACGTATTCGCAAACCCCTAGATGTTAACGACACAACATTTTTTTGATACGCCTAGATTTCGGTCGGTATGCAAGTAATACTAATGCATACTAAAGGTCGGCGATCATAAGTAGCCGAAACTGCTCTTTGGTGCATGAACTCGTATCAGTGGAACCCTAAATAATGCGCGAAATTTTCACAAGCATCTTTTAAGAAATATACTCCAGTCGGTATTACAATGGATTTCACTGGAGAAGGCAGCTAGTTTTGATAGGAAATTCAGGACTATTAATTCCAAGCTAAGAACTTGTACTTCCAACAGGAATCTGTGATTAAGGGGTTAAGATAGAGACAAATGGCAGACGGACACTAGCATCTGTCATCGGAAGACAAATAATTCAATAGAAAAAAAAAACAAATTTAAAGCCGAGACGTCGATGGCTGTTGGATGAAAAAAATTTTAATACTGACAAAGTGATAGATAACGAAAACAGGTTTTTAACAGAGTAAAGGATCATTGACTAAAATAGAATTTTATTTACGAGGGCGCCAAAACACCGAGTTACATTTGAATTGAAGAAAACGTGTGTTAAAAAAGTAACGTAAGCCTACCTTAAACGGCCAGTATAGGAGTGGTTGTTATCCAATTCCATACTCCTCTAAAGAGTGGGGTTTCTCGGTCTCTAAGAGGAATCAAGACGTCTAGTTGGTAATTTATTTTCAGAGACTATAGCGATTTCTCTAGATAATTCGTTCCGGCAATAATCTACACAGCATTAAAAGTCCGCTGCCCAGCTGATATGCCCATGGGGATGTTCATAAATTACTTGACTATCATAACTGGAAAAAAACGTACTGCGGCTTATTCTATAGCAGATCTAAGGAAACGCAGGCAGGTAAAGCTTATGCAATGAAGAGAACTACAAGGACTTCATTAAGCAAAATTTGTAATATTCAATTGACTTTCCACCCATGAAATGGCAGAAAGACGGCACCGCCGAATAGTAAAGTAATATAATGCCAAAATTCAATAACAGTCGAATACCAAAAAAAGCAAAAGGATGATGACGTTAAGCAATAAATACGTTAGCGGGGTAATAAAGGAAACCCAAGCGGCTGAGAACAGGATGAGTAATTTAATGAAGGGGGTGGCGTCTGGTTTCTGTTGATTGGAAAACGAATTCGAAGACTCAGAAGTGGACCCTGGAAAGAGGAAGTACGATTATTCGGGTTTAATCGGCCTCAGGAAAGTCCTGTTATAACAGCGAGTACAATTTTACATTGGTCGCGAATAATTACGGTCTTGTAAGTTCGTTAAGAGATCCCACCACTCAATCCACTCAGACGATCAGAAATATCTTTTTGGATGGAAAATGTGTAGCGCATCCGACCAAAATTTAAATGCCGGTGAAGTCCATATCTGACATGCCATTGACGTTTTGATGAAAAGGGAGGACTCCCGCGCTGGCTCCTGTGGACTAGTGCTATATGTGATCATCTCAGGCGAAAGAACCAAGCGAACGCACACACGGAGGATCCTGTGACCTGGAAGACTTTTCATTCTGTTAATTGCTTTTCCGGTCAGGCCTTACCAAGGACGCTTTTCAGTAATGGTCGATGGTTGTCCACCACAAAGACTTTGGTGACGTCTGAAAATACAGCATCAAAATATACTTTCTATTTGTCCACTTGTTCATGATTTTCATCGTGGTAAAAATATTCAGGAGATGTGACCCCCTTACAAGGGAATAATTCTGCCTTAGACATGAACTCCTGTAGTCTTCTAGCGGATAACACGGGCGGTTGCACATGACCTGCGCAATTTTCCATACTAAAGTTTTATGACTGATTTGACGGTACTTAGCAGTTAAATACCGAGATAGATTAAGGGTACACTAGTGACATGGATAGATAAAGATAAATAGATAATTTTTTTATTAAAGACCCATCGGGGTCCCATCAAAGCAAGTTAAAATAAATTTACATACGAGTTTTAGACGAGGTAGGCCGAATCTTTGCAAAATGCAATTCATAGTTTCTGAATTAGTAGTCCATTGAGAAACATGATGATTGAGGGGTGAAAAAAACTCCTTACAAAAAGTTAAAAAAGATTGGATTATTTTACAGGACAAAAAAAAACTTAATAAAAATAATGACAGAAAAAAGCGAGCAGGACTGGCCTGTAGGTGGCGGTATATAACGGAAGGTTGTCGGTCATCGTCAGGGTAGCAATAAATGTCAGCCTTGAGGGGTACGTATGCGGGTCAGACAGGACTGGCTTGCATGTGGCATTGTATACGGGATTCACAATTGATATCGCCTGGGCCGGATTGATACGCCGCATGAGACTATTCGCGTCAAAGAAGCCAGACGAGAGGAACCGAGATGCGATCGGCCACAGCACGCTTCGAGCTAAGCCGAGCAGTGGGGAAGGGAGGTACGACCAAACTACTAGTAGACGGCGAATACTGAGGGTTCCACCGTGAGCGGCGACAGACCGCATGAGGTCGGAATGCGGGAGATGACATCAAAAACCGCCAAAATTGTCGCTATGGGGGAGGAGTGATAGCAGTGGATTTAGAAACCGAATCAAAACAGGGGTTTCTAATGATATAATTAAGAGTTACCACTTAATCTACTACTAAATCCCAGGAGGACCCTTCTCGAAGTCAAGAATCTGAGTGTTCGGGAATGAGACTGTTAACAGTGCCTTTATGCTTTCCGGTGTAAGATGTTTGCGTACTTTCAAATTCAATACCAGTAACTTAGGCGATAATCTAATTTCAGGCGGAAGATTATTCCAAAGGAAGGCATATTTGGAAGCAAAGAAGAGAGGGCGCTTAGATGTAGTACAAAGAGGCGGCGTAATCACCGTGCGGGAGTTGTGCGTGGCATAAGACCGATCTCTCGGAGTGAGAATGTCAATGAGCGGAAGACTGGAGCTAGAGTTGATGCGAAGAAGTAAGCATGGACTTGACTCTATTCGCCAGATGCCGTGGCTGCCACAAATTCGCCCTAAACGCACTGGTTAACAGAATGATTAAGCACGGGCGAGGCATTCCACGAGGACCATGTGTAAAGACTTTGATGCTGAAATCTCATTACTGTTAAAGAAGGAGCGGCGCATTTTGATGCTTCCTTTGACTGTACTTGGCAAACTGACCTGGATGCATAAACAAGTGCCGTTGTTCAACCTATATATATATATATATATATATATATATATATAT